CTCTCTCTTTTCCTCTGCAGAGTTTCCCAGCTCCATTTCATAAAAAATAATAACAACAAACCTGATGGGGGGAGAAGACAGCAATACAAAATTGTATCGGCTGTTGTTTTGAAGTCAGAATCAAAGCAAGGGACGAAAAACACACTGAAATAATGCCATCTTTGCTTGTTCTTTTGACTGCCTAAAATGAACATTTTGTGGAAGTATCTACCGCTTCACAAGCCTTGTTGGGCACGCATAGCAGTTGGGGAAGTGTGCCTCCCGTTCTTGTTTTATAACCCATGTAGGGTTGTGAAGTGGGTGAAGGCTGTTCTGTTCTGGGCTACATAATAAGCAGCCATGCATTATGTTGGTCATTTTTAACCAAACATTGTCTCCTCCATCCTGTGGAGCCCCTGTGAGGACATGGTGGCAGTGGAGCATCCAGTTCCCCTCTGTTCTGGCTCCTGTCTGCAGCTTCAGTAAGCTGGTGTCGCTTACTAGAGCATGAGTTGACAAGGTGTCATATCGGAATGACCCGTTCCTTAAACAAGACGAGGACCTGGATTTTGAAAAATGAAAATGAATTAACATATTGAACCACCCTACTGGACTATAATACGGGGGATAATAATACGGGGGATCCGTTACAGTCATTTTATCTGAATTTCATTGGCTACACAACGGTCAAACACTTTCCAGCGTCAGTCGGGATTGATGATCTAATGTTTCTACACCAACGATAACCATTTTTGCATAGGCAGCAGCTTGCTCTAGCACAGTTATTAATGTCTCTCGAGTCGTGACCGTTTAGCCTTGTGAGAACGTTAGGAATAGTCTGCCTATACGTTCCAGCCATTTCCACTATAGTCAAATCAAATCACGGAAGACTTGATATCTGATCATCAACATAACCACTCCTTCCTCTGTCCACTCAATACACAACAAACGACCACCTAATAATACGTCGACATCATAATATCATAGAACACATTAAATAGCTTACGTTAGCTAGATAACGTTATATAGCTTTTACACAACGTTTGTCAACTGTGAACGTCAGTCAGGATAACTAGCTAGACTACACAGTTCAGTTTATTTCGAATCTCATCATCTTCACACATCAGATAAATAGTCAATTATCTAACGTTAGCAAAATAAAAGTTGTCACTTACGTGTCTGCAATGTCGGGCAAACTGCGGCAGGTTGAGCAGTACATCATATGCTCTTCTCCTGCTTCTTCGGTGTACCGGAGCCAAGGAAACTTCTCGGTCCATGATGGAAGGAAGTTTCTTTTGCGTTTTGTTTCATAATCTAATTTGGAGGCAGCCGATTTTTCAGGATCTCGCCTAGGTCGCTTTCCTGGGGCTTGGTTCGCTTTTGGCGCCTGCAGCCAGGACATCTTGAACTCATTACTCACTGACTGGATATCGAGGATAGATGAGTCGCGAGCGTGACAGCGCATACACACCAGCCGCGCAAGCAGGCACTCGCGGGTTCATGTTCACACCAATTTCCCGCGGGTCAAATATTTCTACCAATCACTGCAGTCATAATATTGACGTACAGGTACGGAGATTGCGACACTGCGAGACAGGCACTTCAGATGGAATAACGTTACTATTTCGTTTGGGTGATTTCCCCCCCCCCCCGAAAATGCACTTGTCCGTTCGGACAAGTTAAACTGTATTATGCTTGTCCGACCATTTTTTTTACTTGTCCCGGACAATCGGACAAGCCTTAATGTCAAGCCCTGCTACCTGAACAATGTATTTAACTACAGTACTTAGGTAAACAATTTTTTTGCCCACTGGTCTTCCCTGACAAGAATTGGCATCTTCTGTTTTATTTCCTTCCTGTTAAGCTCATGTTACACTTAATGACAATAGGAAAGGAAAAATGGTTAATAGCATCTTTGTTAATGTCTTCTCAATGTAGGAACAAGTGACTGCAGCCATTGCTCTGGCTATGGAGCAGCAGACCCAGAAACTGCTGCTTGAAACCCAGTTGGACATCACAGAGTTTGATAACCTGCTGCAGCCCATCATAGACACCTGCACCAAAGACGCCATCTCTGTAAGCCGGTCAAGTAGACATTTTTTTTTTAGATATGCTTATGTTCGTAGATTCCTAAATTCATTTTAAAACGGATGTGCATGTGTCCTTTCTTCTGTCAGGGTGGTAAAAACTGGATGTTCAACAACGCCAAGACTCCGCAGCACTGTGAACTGATGACATCACATCTCCGCAACCGCATCACTGCCGATGGAGCGCATTTTGAGCTCTGCCTGCATCTCATCTATTTAACCAATGACGTTCTCCATCACTGGTACACAAACCCAAATACCACTTTACTACTACACTTAGGGAGTGTAATATAGCTCCAATAAGCCTATAATTAACATGATCTCTTATGATGTTAAATGTGTAAAACCACTTACATTTTCATTTATGTCTGATTCCACTGTACACACGTATTGAACAAGTATTCATTTTGAGCTATAGCAACCAATTAATGATTAATTACCATGTGAATTTAAATTCATTTTTTTAATTTAATGTTTTAATTTCATAGACTGTATAATGAACCGCATTGAACAAAAGTGAAAATAAACATCTGTTCCAGGCCAGCCTTGGTTAAATGTTGAACAAATCTTGCATTAAAAGGGGTAAAAGAGCATTATAACAGATTAGATGAGAGGTTGGTGTTAAGCAGCTTTCAGTGTATTTCATCTGTAACATGTTTAAATGTGTTCTCACAGCCAGCGGAAGCAGCAGAAGGATTTGTTGGCAGCGCTGCAGAAAGTCGTGGTTCCCATCTACTGCACCAGCTTTCTGGCTGTAGAGGAAGACAAGCAGCAGAAGATCACCAGGGTAAACATCAAGCACATGGACAGCTTTGTGTCCATTTTTAACAACTAAGAACCTTAACAGATTGCAGGAGTTTTTATTATTATTGGCAGTACAATTATGGAACACTAATCAACACCTTCATAATTAAAAATAATACTTGCATAAAATGTAATTAAATTAATAATATTCTGTCCAGTTTTTAGTTCAAGGCAGTTTAAATAAATGTAGGGCTTGCTTTTGTTAGTTAATGTTGTAGTGGTATGTCAGTTGTGTATGTCTTGATTTTAATCGTACAATGTCAACCAACTTCTATTATATAAATAGCTACAGCGTTTGTTAAGAAAAGGCTCAGCACTTCCTGCCTGCAATGCTATTTATTCATTGAATCTATACCTCTTTTTGGTATATACAGTGGGGCAAAAAAGTATTTAGTCAGCCACCAATTGTGCAAGTTCTCCCACTTAAAAAGATGAGAGAGGCCTGTAATTTTCATCCTAAGTATACCTCAACTATGAGAGACAAAATGAAAAAAAAAAAATATCCAGAAAATCACATTGTCTGATTTTTAAAGAATTAATCTGCAAATTATGGTGGAAAATAAGTATTTGGTCAATAACAAAAGTTAATCTCAATACTTTGTTATATACCCTTAATGACAGAGGTCAAACGTTTTCTGTAAGTCTTCACAAGGTTTTCACACAATGTTGCTGGTATTTTGGCCCATTCCTCCATGCAGATCTCCTCTAGAGCAGTGATGTTTTGGGGCTGTCGCTGGGCAACACGGACTTTCAACTCCCTCCAAAGATTTTCTATGGGGTTGAGATCTGGAGACTGGCCAGGCCACTCCAGGACCTTGAAATGCTTCTTACAAAGCCACTCCTTCGTTGCCCGGGCGGTGTGTTTGGGATCATTATCATGCTGAAAGACCCAGCCACGTTTCATCTTCAATGCCCTTGCTGATGGAAGGAGGTTGTCACTCAGGGTCTAGGATACATGGCCCCATTCATTCTTTCCTTTACACGGATCAGTCGTCCTGGTCCCTTTGCAGAAAAACAGCCCCAAAGCATGATGTTTCCACCCCCATGTTTCACAGTAGGTATGGTGTTCTTTGGATGCAGCTCAGCATTCTTTCTCCTCCAAACACGTCTAGTTGAGTTTTTACCAAAAAGTTATAATTTGGTTTCATCTGACCATATGACATTCTCCCAATCCTCTTCTGGATCATCTAAATGCTCTCTAGCAAACTTCAGACGGGCCTGGACATGTACTGGCTTAAGCAGGGGGACACGTCTGGCACTGCAGGATTT